AGCCCAGCGGTGGACCTGCAAGGCCGATGGGAGTGCAAGGAAGCCCCGCGAAGTCCCTCCCTGGCCCCAGGCAGGCAGGGATGGGGAGAGGCAGGGAGGAAGCAACTTACCCTCCCTCTTCTCCTGCTTCCTTCTGGCTGAATGAGGGCCGGAAGCGGGGCGGCCGGAAGCAGGGGGCAGGGCTTTGTCATGTGCCCCGCCCCCTGTACCTCACCCGGGGGAACTGCAATCCCCCGCTATCCCCCCCGAAATGACCTCTGGATCCAGCCCTCATCACAAATGAGTTTGACACCCCTGCTCTAGAATCCTCTCACCCAGGGCCTAGCTAAATATATGGCAGGACATGAGTCTTCGTGAATCACTGCTCGCTTCTTCAGATACAGCTAGAATGGGAGTCCATCTGTCCTATTTATTGGAAAGTGGAGTGATTTCAGTAAATAGGACAGATGGACTCCCATTGTAGCTGTATCTGAAGAAGTGAGAACGCTCATGCCCTGCCACAAATTGTGTTAGTCTTTCAGGTGCTACTGGACTCTTGCTCTTTTCTACTGCTACAGACAGACTAACACGGCTACCCGTCTTGATCCAGGGCCTAACTATACATTATCAATTGCATGAGTTTGCCAAGGGGACATGGAGCTATTCTGTAGATGCTAGTTGCTGGTGGGAACCCATGAGTAAATGTGCAAAAGGGTTGATTTGGGTGGGGACTGCTGTCCAGGAGAAGGAGGTATTCCTGCTTTCTCCCCTGAGCTCTTTTTGGGAGCTGAAGGGAGCCCACGGGCTGCAGGGGAGGGGAAGCATTATTTGCTCGATTGGGAACCAGCAGTGGCTGTGGGCCTCGATATGCCATAAAGCAAGTTATGCATATGTTTAATTGCAAAAGTTTGCAACTATATTGTCATTCCCCATCCGTCATGAGAGCTGGTCCTTTGATTCCTGCAATTTCATACTGGAATGGAACGTGTCATTTTAAACTGGGTTCAAATAGAACTGAGGGACCCTTTGCCCCCTAAATGGATGCATGTCAGGCCAGCAAGTGGAATAATATGCATGTCCCCATTCATTGCAGATGCCTATGGGATATTATCTCCAGACAATGAATCTGAATTTGAATGGATTTCTCTTTCCAGTTACGGCCATGAATGTGATAAGCATTCTGCCGTTTTTGATTCGAGGTCCTATTTTGGAGTGCCTCAATGGGTGTTTCTTTAATGCCAAAAGTAGTTGATGGTTTCCTACAGAGTATATTGGTGAGAATTCTCTAAAATGGCTGGATTGTGTAGATGAGAGCAATTGTAATTTTCCATTGGTACACAAATAGGGTTTTCCCCCCTTAAATAATTAATTCCTTGGGGCTATTGAAGAAGGACTGTGAATTGGCTGGATGTAATTGATTGTGGCTGCATTGATAGTTGATTACCCCCAATGATATACCTTCATTGTTCACTGCTTTAATATCTGAGCATTGTGTGTTTCCAGGCTGTTACTATTGATTTTATTTTAATTCTGTAAAAGTATATCACACATATTCTAAAGGAGCTCAGTTTGGTGTAGTGGTTAAGAGCGCGGACTCTAATCTGGGAGAACAGGGTTTGATTCCCCACTCCTCTACATGCAGCTGCTGGTGTGACCTTGGGTCAGTCACATGTTCTCTCAGAGTTGTTCTCTCAGGGGCAGTCATCAAAAGAACACTCTCAGCCCCATCTACCTCACAGGGTGTCTGTTGTGGGGAGGGGAAGGGAAAGGAGATTGTAAGCTGCTTTGAGACTCCTTCAGGTAGTGAAGGGTGGGGTGTAAATCCAATCTCCTCCTCCTCCTTTTGCACAACAACCTTGTGAGGTAGGTTAGCCTGGAAGACAGTGACATCACCATGGTTATCCAATATAGTCTTAGTGGAGCCTCAGTTTTTGACATCTAAACATTCTACCAACTGTGCTTTCTTAGCCATTATCTCGCATTGGATAAGGAAATATGAAAAAACGTTGCAACTGAAAAGTATGTCACTCCTAGGAATGCTTTAAAATTTGCTGATCTTCGATCGTAATAAATCAGATTGAATTTTATAACACAGTGTTGTGCTGGATGGGCCATTGGCTTCTCTTATGTTCTTAAAAAGAACAAAACGATGAAAATTGACATTCAACAATCTTATTCCCTGTTATAAAAATGCCCTCCTGAACAAACTCTGTTTTACACATTCTACGGAGTGCTCTCCTGATGTCATCAGAGCTGTGGTCCAGGCAGCTACCAGTCCTATCTGTACCCCACAAAAGGGGCAATACAGTCATGCATACCATTGCAGTGGGTTGACTCTTGTGTGGGGTTTTTATCAATATTATGTACAAAGCAGCTTTGGGATGCTGGTTTGTGAGGGAAATGAGTGCTGAAGGAAAAGAGTTAAGTAGCCTCTCTCCCTCTGTACTGGTCTCTCCCTTTCCGTCACACCCACCCATGGCTGAAACCTGTTAAAACAATGTCAGCCACTGTTGTTGTGTATTGATTCCCAACATGGTGCCCAGCAATCTATTTCTCGGTGTTCTTTTGCTTCTTGAGCCTGAGGAGACAATCCAAAGCTTATTTAATGGAATGGAGGGGGGAAAGAAACGTGTTTCAGATGTAGGGCTGCCAACCTCCGGGGAGGCCTGGAGACCTCCCAGAATTAAGACTGATCTCCTGGTGATAGAGATCAGCTGCCCTGGAGGAAATGGCTGCTTTGGAGGGTGAGGTGGGCTCTGAGGCCCTCCTGCCCCTCAGACTCACTGGGTGACATGGGGTCAGTCATTCTCAACCTCACCTACCTCACAGGGTTGTTGTGGTGATAAAGCAGAGGAGGAGGAAGAAGAAGAAGAGAAGAGATAGGATTTATACCCTGCCCTTCACTACCCAAAGGTGTCTCAGAGCGGCTTACAAACTCCTTTCCCTTCCCCTCCCCACAACAGACACCCTGTGAGGTAGGTGGGGCTGAGAGAGCTCTTGACAGAAACTGCTCTTTTTCAAGAACAGCTCTTATCAGAACTACGGCTTGCCCAAGGTCATCCAGCCAGGTGCAAGTGGAGGAGTGGGGAATCAAACCCGGTTCTCCCAGATTAGAGTCCGCGCACTTAATCACTACACCAAACTGGCTCTCAACACCAAACTGGAGAGGCCCATATCTGCTATCCAGCGCTCCTTGGAAGGAAAGGCGGGATAAAAAAAGTACTAAGTAAAAGGTAAATCATTGGGGGGAAATAATCACAGTTTCTCATATCAATGTGGGATGCCCTGCTGTGCGGGACAGTGGTGTGGCCAGCAAAGGAGGACTATTTTGTGTAGTGGTTAGGAGCGCGGACTCTAATCTGGGAGAACCAAGTTTGATTCCCCACTCCCCCACATGCAGCCAGCTGGGCAACCTTGGGCCAATCAAAAGTTCTCTGAGAGCTGTTCTCTCCAGGGCAGTTCTCGAGAGAGCTCTCTCAGCCCCACCTACCTCAAAGGGTGTCCGTTGTGGGGAGGGGAAGGGAAAGGAGATTGTAAGCCGCTCTGAGACACCTTCGGGGGCTGAAGGGCAGGGTATAAATCCAGTCTCTTCTTCTACTACTACTATGCCATCTTGGATTGGTTTTAATTTGTCATGCATTGTTCTACTCTATATGTCAATTGTATTTCAAATGTTTATAAGATTGTAAATCACCCAGAGCCTGCTTGCAGGGTGGGCAATTCATAAATCCAAAATAAATAAATAAATAAAATAGATTAAAATAAATTTCCAAACTGGAGTTGTCAGGTCCCCCCCGGCCACTGGTGGGGAATGGGGGGGTAGGGTTGCCAGATCCAGATTGGGGAAACTCCTGGAGATTTGAGGGAGGAACCTGGAGAGGACAGGGACCTCAGTGGGGTACAATGCCAGAGAGTCCTCCCTCCAAAACATCTATTTCCTGCAGAGGAATTGATCTCTTTTATCTGGAGATGAGCTGTAATTCCTGGGGATCCCCAGGTCCCACCTGGAGGCTGGCATCCCCAGTCACTGAAAAGGAATCAGCCCCTTTCTGTTTGGAAAGCTATTCCCATTTGCATGAACTTGAACAACTGGAGTGCTCTTCCAATTTCAGCTATCCTCCTTCCCGCAGCGAGGCTGTATCTTACAAACAAATGTGCGCACGCACGCCTAGAAATCAATATTCCCTGTCTTCTTCCCATTTAATAGCGTGCCCCATAGCATGTGGCACAGCCAGGGCTGAACGACAGGAAGTATTAATCTGACTAGAATTAGCCTAATTAGATTTGTTGTGAAGCTTCGTACAAAGCAGAAGCTGTACGGAACAGCAGGTGGCAATTACTCGGGATTTTAAAAAAATTAAAAACCTCTCTATTGAGCTGCGGGAAAAGAACATTCAGAAAGGAATGTCGGCACCTCTTCAGACTTACCTCTTGAAGCCCTTAGGTCATTGAAGGATATTACAAAAGTTCATAAGGTTAAGTGTTTCCCTTGGTGTTCTATAGTACCTCTGTGGCTGGCTCCCTCATTCTCTGAAGCCTCTTTTGCTAACATGGGGCCTACAGGACGCAACTACTCTAGCTTACCTACATCCAGGGGTCATTTCATAGAAAAAAGAGGGGCAGGAGCTCATTAGCATAACTCATTTGCATATGCCACACCCCCTGACATCACCGGAAGTGTGTCAGAAGGCAACCCCCCCTGCTCAGGCTCCACTGGATTGTTTTGGATTGCTAGCTATTGGGGGGGGGTGCAGATCTGTCCTCGCAGAGGAGGGAGAGCTTGTACCTGAATAAACCCTGGTCTTAAAGGTGCCACGGGACTGTTTTGGACCAGGGGGCTGGGGGGGGGCTCCGCAGCTTACCTGGCTGCTTCTTGCTCTGCCTGAGGGCTGCTGGGAGCAGGGGGTGGGGCTTGTTGCATGTGCCCACCCCCTGGGATCTTTACTGCCAGAGCTCCGCTCCTCTGCGCTCCTGCAGGAAATGACCCCTGCCTACATCTACAATATTTCCCCATGACTGGGCATGTTGAGTTAGGAGAAGGTGCTGCCAAGTCACCCAGTGTGACCTCTAAGCTCCACGGTGTTGCGAGCAGAAATTCTACCTCGTGAGCGAAAGAAGCTAGTAGCCTTAAAGTTGTAAGCAAGTCTACATTTGACTATTGTGTAAAATATTTTTAAGAAGATTATTTCCATAACCTTGTAAAAATCTCAGAATGAATTATTTTAAACTATATTTGAACTATATTTTAAGAGTAATTTAAACATTGTAAGAGAAAACAGAATCAGGTCCTCTATAGGGGTAGACCAGGCCTCCAGAGAACAGGTCTACCAGCTCCAGTCCACTATATTAGTAGACCTGGCCTCTGGAGAACAGGTCCGCCCATCCCTTTCTACTTTATTAGTCGATCTGGCCTCCAGAGAACAGGTCTACCTGCCCCAGTCCGCTACATTGGTAGACCTGGCCTTCAGAGAACAGGTCTCCCAATTGACTCATGGCAACCCCAATCCCAGGGCGTTCCAGGCAAGAATCGAGCAGAGATAGCTTGCCATTGCCTTCCTCTGCATAGCAACCTCGGTCTTCCTCAGTGGTCTCCCATCCAAGTACTGAACGTGGCCAACCCTGCTCAATGCCCAAGCTTTGAGGAGCCCAGGATAAGCTGGAATATTTGGGCCACCTGTTGAATTAGACCCTTAGTCAGAAGTACACAGAACAGTCACATTTAACAACAATTGACACCACATGTGGTGGTAGAAAATGTTGCCGAGTAGCAGCCAACTTATGTTTACCCTGTAGGGTTTTCAAGGCAAGAGGTGTTCAGAGGTGGTTTGTCATTGCCTGGCTCTGCACTGCGAGTGTGACCTTGGACTTCCTTGGTGGTCTCCCATCCAAATACTAACCCAGGCAGATCCTGCTTGGCTTCCCATATCTGATGAGGTTAGGCTAGCCTGGGCTATCCACATAGCCTTTTAAAAAGTTGTCTGTTTGTATGTTAACAGACAAAGACATTTAAAGTAGAAATCAGGTGTTACCTCTGGAACGAATCCTGTGAAGAGTGATTGGGAAAACTGGGACTCATTGTGATTGGCTGTGTACCTGCCAATCAGACCACTTCCCATCATCTCACTCTACTTGTACCTTGGTGGGGGGACTGGGGCTCAGGAATTAAACCAGTTGGGTGACATCCGCTGCAAGCCAAAAGACACTTTTCTGGGAGAGTCCCCCATTGAACAACACAGAAGGCCGGCTTTAGATTGCTCCCATAGGCTGTGATCAATGTTCCCTCTAAGCTGTGGAGTCTTGTGAGCAAAAATTCTACTTTGTGAGCTACTGGCATGAAAGTTGTGAGCGAGTGATTTGGCTCCTGCATAAATTAATTTGCTCTGGAGCTGTCCTTCCTGAGCTAAGACAAAAATGTGTGAGCTGGAGGCTAAAAAACTGTGAGCTAGCTCACACTAACTCAGCTTAGAGGGAACACTGGCTGTGATCCTAAAAACAGTTTTCTTGGCAGTAAGCCCCATTGAATAAAACGGAACTTACTTCTGAGCAGACCTGCTTTGGAGCACTCCTATTGTGGCTTGTCGTCCTTAAAGAGTTTGCATAAACGAAGAGTGCTGGAATAAAGAATCCTTTAAATGAATACTCTCCATATTGAAATAAAGGACTAAGTTCAAAGTACTTACCCACATGTGATTTCTCATTCAAAACTGCTGGGAATTGCCCACCCCCGTACCCTGTTTTTGGCATTTGTTTGACAGTCCTCACCAAACTCTGTAACAATGCTATAGTATGCTCATTCAAACACATCACATCACTTGGCGCTGATGCTCATTGATGTGAAGATGTTGCTCATCACCATATGACATAACCGTGTTTCACCCTCTTGGTTGTGAGGACCCTCGTGACTCCTGGTGTGGAGGTGAACCAGCGATTTAATTGTGGCAGAAGACTTTAAAAAGACTAGAACAAAGTTTGAGTCCAGTGGCACCTTTAAGACCAAAAAAGTTTGTTTGTTTTATTAGATTTATATACTGCCTTCCCCGCGAGCAGGCTCAGAGCAGTTTACATCAATTATAGTATAATACCATTAAAACAGCCACTTAATAACAACTTAAAACAGCGTCAAATCATAACCATAAAATACCATGTAAAACAATGTTCAGATGTCAGTCAGATTCATTGAGTACAGCAATGGTGCCCCAATGTCAATTTAGATCCAATTTAATTTCAGGGTATAAGCTTTCGTGTGCATGCACACTTCTTCACACTTCTCAAATTAGATTAAGTAAAATACAAGGTAGTTTATACCCAGAATTAAACTCTGTTGGTCTTAAAGGTGCCACTGGACTCAGACTTCGTTCCATTGCTGCTTCAGATCAACACAGCAACCCACCTGAATTTTAAAAGAGTTGTATAGATGATACCATTTGACATGAATGAAATGGGTTGAAAACCTGGTGAATTATGGGAAATGCTGTCCTGAACAGGCCTTTATAATATTTGAATTTTTAAAGACTCCTGAAACAAGTATACTGGGTAGCAAGAGGCGTTTGAAAATCAGCCATAGTGAAAATTTGGCTCAGCCAACTATTCTTTAGTAAAGGTAAAGGTTTCCCTTGCTCGAAAGCCAGTCAAATCCGACTCTAGGGATGTGGTGCTCAGCTCCGTTTCCAAGCCGAAGAGCCAGCGCTGTCCAATGACATTTCCGTGGTCATGTGGCCGGCATGACTAGACGCCGAGGCACACAGAACACTGTTACCTTCCCACCAAAGCGGTACCTATTTATCTACTTGCAATTTCTTGCTTTCGAACTGCTAGATTGGCAGGAGCTGGGACCAGGGACTATTCTTTAGCAAGAATATAAATGGAGAGTGTTAGTTTTCTTCCAGTATACCAGGCGGTACTGGAAAAAAAATTCGTAAAGAATTTTATCCTTGGTTTTTAATTCTTTCTTTTTTTGGTACCCATGCAGTTGTAGGTTGCATGTCTGCTGCCCTGGCCATGATAGCAGCTGGGTTTCTTGAGGTACACAGGAAACATTTCCCTAAGGTGGAACAAACACTTTCGGGCAAAATCTTCCTGGATTCCTCCATGCCGTACCTCCATCTGGCCCCGCGGTACATCTTGCTCAGCGTGGCAGAAGCACTGGTGACTCCCACCTGTAAGCAGAGCGTTTTGCTACAGAGCATTAGAACGACATCTGTTTGAACAGAGCGTGTTAGAGTACCTGTCATCAGAATCCTCACCCCTGGCGTTTTTCCACAGCTTTTCTGAGCAGGCTCATTCATCACTTGTGCGGGAAGAGAGCTTAATTTGTCGTCCTCGTGGTTACCGCTTGCTGAACAATAGTGTTCTCTCTGAGATTAGGGGAGACGTACAATTTGCCACCCCGGCCGAGGTTTTTTCATGCATTGTATCTCGTAAAGGAGCTAGACGGGACTCCCGTTGACACACTGCCAAAGTGTGATACAAGTTCAAAGGAGCAATTGCCAGAAACTCGACAGTCATGGAAATGTTCCTTCAGGATTTTAACATAGTCAGAAATTAGCTCTGTTTGTTGGGGTGGGACCTGCATAGCCCCGGGCTAGTCTAATCTCGTTAGATCTCAGAAACTAAGCAGGGTCAGCCTTGGGTAGTATTTGGATGGGAGACCACCAAAGAATAGCAGGGTCGTGACGCAGAAGTGTGTGATGGGAAACCATCTCTTGCCTTGAAAACCCTACAGGGTCCCCATACGTCAGGTGTGACTTGACTGGAAAAAAATTAAATACATTTTTAAAATAGAGGGATGTCGGAAAACAGGGCTGCATCCCCACAGTTAGAATTTTTGGTTTGCTGTCATTGCTATCACAGGCATTCACACTGGCAATGGAGCATCAATGCCAGATTTTTGCACCCACTAACCTTGGTCAGCCACCATTTTCCCAGCATCCCCCCGTCATACCACTATTTTTCCTGCATTTTCCCCCCATCAGAATTTTTTAAAATGGTAATTACTACTGTGCTATAGCAGAAGAGGAGGAGGAGGAGGAGGAGATTGGATTTATACTCAGCCCTTCACTACCTGAAGGAGTCCCAGAGCATCTTACAAATTTCCTTTCCCTTCCCCTCACCTCCCTTTCCCTGTGAGGTAGGTGGGGCTGAGAGAGCTCTTTCGAGAATTGCTCATGAGAGAAAGAACTTGTAACTGACCCAAGGTCACACCAGCCAGCTGCACATGGAGGAGTGGGGAATCAAACTCGGTTCTCCTAGATTAGAGTCCATGCTTCTAACCGCTACACCAAACCGGTGAATAATGATCTGGTGCCATCATCTGCTTGTTCCTCCGAATTCCCATCTGTCATCTGTAAAAATACGGGATCTAACACTTTTCATTGTGGAGGTATAAATGGAAAGGTAGCTCTCTCTTGCAAAGATTGTTGTAATGATCTTGCAATTATTATTTTTTTAAAAAAGCCCTCCAGTAGCATAAGTGAAAATAGGCACTATGGAGGGGGCTGATGCATGAAAACATGATGTAACCTGCCTTGAGCCTGCTCGCGGGATGGGCGGTCTACAAATACAATAAATAAATTAAATAAATAAATAAATAAATAAATAAATAAATAAATAAATAAATAAATAAAAATGGCACTGACATAGGCTGGACCTTCAAAAATGCAGGCCTTTTCGTACACGGGCAAGCAAAGGTGCTTTGACTGTGATCACTCCAAAATGATCTTGTCAAACACGATTTGGGATCTGAGCAAAGCAAGGGAAAATCTGGAAAGCAGATGACATCTTGTGAATGCCCCTTCCTTTCCCATGCCAAGCCAGAGCAGAGCTTCCATGTGAGGTTCCGAGCCACATTTTTTTCTCCATTTCCTCCAAAGTTAGTTGTTCTTACTTTGTCTTATGAGAGAGCGCCACCCTTCATCCCAACTGGAATTCCCCGATTCATTCTTGCTTGCTTTGCAAAGGTTCTTTAATTACTTTCTGGTCTGTGCCCGGTGGGATTTGTGGGATTGCCATGAAAGTCTTGACTTTCTTCAGCGGCCCTGGCTGTTTTGTGGGGGCCTTCCCTTGTTCTGGCAGCTTATGTCTGGTCATGAGGTAAAATAATTTTTTTAATGCAGATTGAAGCTGTGGGGATTTTTCTTCTTGTTGTTCTCGCCCAAGATTCCTCCTATTGGCTATTGACTTCCATTAGAAGCGCATAACGCAGCCTAGCTGCCAGCGGTGTATCGATCCCTCCTCATGATTAAGACGGGTCACGAAGCTGCAGCCAGATTTATCAAAACATAATGAATCATTCCTATTTTGATAGGTTGCATAATTAGAGTGTGGCATTTTTCACAGGGCTTCCTTCCGCCAGCGTTCTGTGAGAGTGAGCTAGAGGGCCTAGCGTTGTGCCACAAATCCGGAGTGGTGGTACAAAAAAAAAAGAAGATTTGCTACAAGAGTTATTTAAACAGATTTGAGCGAGAGAGTGGCAAAACTTGTGGAGGGGGAAGAGCCCAGTTTACCGTTCATTCTTGTGGTGTCCAAAACTGTCTTGAATTCTTAACCTGATCCATAGAGTCTTAAAAAACTTGGGCCCAATTCTCATTCTCTAGCATGTTTGACTCGGTGGCCTTAAGGGCTAGGGTGGCCAGATCCCTCCTGGCCACCAGCGGGGTAGAGTTGCCAGATCCAGGTTGGGGAACTCCTGGCAATTTGGGGATGGAGCCTGGGGAGGACATGGACCTCAGTGGGGTGCAATGCCAGAGACTCCACTCTCCAAAGCATCCATTTTCGTCAGGGGAAATCTCCTGGAGGAGATAATTTGACTCACTATTGGGAATTCCTACTGTAATGTATAAGATGACGGTAAAGACTACTGGGTGCTTGTTTTTGAACACTGAAGCCCTTGATTTTTATTTATTTTTTAGCCCCCCGAAGGGGAATTTTTTATTTGCTTTTCTATAAAACTACAACAGAAATTGGGGAGGGAGAGTTTACAATCTATAGGAAAAAGTAAAAAGAACCTAACTAAAAACCCAAGAATGGGGGTTTTACAATGCTTAAAACATAGTTGTTACTCTTATACAGTTACTTTCAAACATGAAGAGTGCCCGCCAATCATCGCTTCTGCTGACAAAACCTGCTTATCGGACTGAACAGAGAGTAATTCCAAAGCTATAACACACATAATCACATCCCTTAAGAAAAAATTAAGGGACTCTCTGGCTTTGCACCCCTCTGAGGTCCCTTCTCTCCCCAGATTCTGCCTCCCCCAGGCTCCACCCCCAAATAACCAGGAATTTTCCAACCTAGAGTTGGGAACCCTACTATTCCTGGGTGTTTAAAATTGTTATATGCTTGGATGAAAGATATGGGCTATACGATAGATATTGACAACTGGGCCAAAATATGGAAGTCTATGAGATATCTCAGTTCAACAGCATATAAAGAACATTTATATAAGATGTTTCATAGATGGTATTGGTCACCAGATAAAATTGGAAAATTTGCACCTCAAACTTCAAAAAATTGTTGGAAATGTAAGAATAATATAGGAACGTTTTTTCACTTGTGGTGGAAATGTTGCAGGATGCAAAAGTTTTGGAAATTATGAAACAGATTATATTAGAAATGATGAATATAAATGTGGATTTGGTACCAGAAATATACTTATTGAATATAATTCCAGATAACCTAGATAGATAAGACAGATATTTATTAACATATATTTTAACTTCATCAAGAATTATGGTAGCCCGATGTTGGAAATCAGATAAATTACCCTCTAGATTAGATATAGTTAAGAAACTGCTGGAGATAGCCAAATTGGATAAACTGACTATGTTATTACGTGGTAAATATGAGACAATATTCCGAAAAAGGTGGATAAGAGTATATAATTGGTTGGGGGGAAACATTGTATGTAACACTAAAAAAAAATAGACAATGATTATATAAAAGTGCTTACTGGCTGTTTAACAAAACTGAATAAATAAAGTATTTTTTAAAAAGTTTACAATTGCCCGGCCATTAATCTGCCGAACTGCACATGTCTGAGCATGCGCAGTTCGGCCAGGAGCCGGGGATGAGCCGGCAGAAGGACGCGCCAGCGATCCCACGACCAACCTTGATGCGCCCTTTCCTGAAGAACCACCTAGGTAGGTGGTTTATTTTTGATGCAGGGTTTTGGGTGGAAGGGCCGGATCGGGAACGGGCGCGCCACGTTTCCCAGATGTTGCTGTGGGATCGCACCCGTTTGCTGCGCCCCCGATCCGTCCCTCTCCCTGCTCAAAACCTCTCGTGTGACCGGGGCCCTTAGCTGTCTTTGGCTTCTCCTTCCAAGGTAATTGAATATCAGAGGGGTTTTTTAGTTTAGCGATGAGCATCTTGTTACACAACTCTTGTCTATTGCATCCCGGATTTGTACAAATAAAAGACTCTAGGAAGAAGAAGAAGAGTTGGATTTATACCTTGCCCTTCACTCAGAGTGGCTTACAATCGCCTTCCCTTCTCCTCCCCCTCCTTGCCTTCCCTTCCCCTGTGAGGTAGGTGGGGCTGAGAGAGCTCTGAGAGAACTGCTCTTGAGAAAACACCTCTCAAAGAACTGTGACTGACCCAAGGTCACCCAGCTAGCTGCATGTGGGGGAGGAAGAGGGGGGGATCAAACCCGGTTCTCCAGATTAGAGTCCACCACTCTTAACCACTACAGTATTTTGTAGGTATGTGTTCTCTGGAAGGCCTGTAATACCCTTCTGATATTCACTGTTGTTAAGACACTGGTGTAGCTTGGTGGATTTGTAATGTCCAAAACTACAGGAGGCAGAATCCCTGCAGATACCTGTTTTCCTGTAGCTGGAATGTGTTAAGAATGCCAAGGAGTGGTTGGGAGGAGCAATCAGCAAACATCTGTTTATATATTTCGGGGGGGGAATTAACGTCGATAGGAAGCAGTTTGCGCAAAGATGACTTGACCTTAACATCCATTAAGTTTTGTCTCTTAAATCACTTTTACAAGCTGTTTCTCTAACCAGCAGCTGCAACGTGGCCATCACTGAAACTAGGAGAAACATTCGTAACAGTTAAAGGTGCCAGAATATGAAAATCCCAGTTTGGAATGGCAGTGGGAGGGAAGAGTCCCTCAGCAGGGTTTTGAATGGCATGGCTCTTTGATCCCTTTCCCTACTAGACCTCTGTGAAGAGCTTACAGGCGTTACATGCTGCATCCACATTCTCAGAAAGAACACTGGTATTATTGTCCGAAGCTTCCAAAAGATTTGCTGTGGTGGCAACACCCTGACCTGGATGGCTGTGCTTGTCAACCTCCAGGTGGCACCTGGGGATCTCCTGCTATTACGATTGATGTCCAGACGGCCAAGATTAATTCCCCTGGAGAAAACGGCTGTTTTGAAGGGTGGACTCTATGGCATTGTACGATGTTGAGGCACCACATTGGGGCACCATGTTGGGGACCCCTGCTGTGGAAGGTTCCTTGGTACCTCTTTTGCCCTGTCTGTCTGTCTGTCTTTCATGTACCCATGTCTCCAGTCCGTACCCAGGGCAGATCTGATACCATCAGACATCTATAAGGGAAAATTTTGATGACTGGTAAGACTCTGTGTGTGTGTGTGTGTGTGTGTGTGTGTGTGTGAGAGAGAGAGAGAGAGAGAGAGAGAGAGAGAGAGAGAGAGAGAGTAGTGTATTCAAAGCTGCCTTGAATGCATGATATGTTGTGAAACATCGAATTGAAGTGTAATGTAAAGCTTCGTCCTGGGCTAGGATCCAAATCCATCCAATCGTGTTACTAGCCCATCTAACCAATCACTTTCAAGCAAGCTCCCTGAGCGGGAACATCCGTGATTGGTCCTTATGTGAACAACCTTATTGGTTGGTATTTGTACAGTGGGTGTGGCTACATTAGCCGGGAATGTTTAAAAGCAGGACAGCTGCAATGTAAAGGCTGTTCTGGCTATCAGATGTTGATCCGTGTTGGAGTTGTGTTCGAGCTGTGGAATAAAGCTGAATCTTTGCTGAATCACTCTCCGACTACTTTGTTAAGCGAGCGACTTAACAGCAGATTGTACATAAATGGTATTTAAGGATGCCAATTCTGGGTTGGGAAATTCCTGGAGATTTGGGGACAGTGCCTGGGGAGAGACATCAATTTCTCCTAGACTCTATGGTCCGCCCTCTGAGGCGATTTGCTGGAGGGACACTGATTTCTGTAGTCTGGAGATCAGTTGTAATTCCAGGTTGGTAACCCTAATCGTATTGCATACTTCATATTTGCTTGGAAGCTGTCTTTAGGACCTACAGTTTTGACTGATCTGGAACTAAACCACAAACCTAAATAGGGGGCGAGCAGCTTCAGAATTAGACAGCTTTTTGGAATGCTCCTCTGTTGTTAAAAACTTCCACAAAATAAAAAAAACAAAAAACAAAACAGCACAGCAAGCAGAGAGCGGATGGATCATTTCCCCCCATTTAGCTAATTTCATATTTGCGTTGAGTTCAGTCTGAAGCGGTGCAGACCATTTTACCCCCTTATTCTCCTGCATGTGGGACTCCAAGCTCCCCCCCTTCCCTTTGCTCATTTTGCAATAAAATACAGATGATGAACACAGTGAAAAATGGATGCCCTTCCAGTCTTGCTCCCTAGCATGGCTATAAGGGTCTGGCAGCTTCTCAACCATTCCCATTTAAGTCTGGTCTGACCCACTGCACAAATTTAAAATATTAAAACAGCTTTGGAAGGGAGAAATGTCAAATCTGAAAGACCTGCATCCATTTATGGTGTGTGTGTGTGTATATATATATATGTGTGTGTGTGTGTGTGTGTATTATATGGACTCTTTTTGTAGCAGGAACTCCTCTGCATATTAGGCGACACACCCCTAATGTAGCCAATCCTCCAAGATCTTACAGAGCTCTTCTTACAAGGGGCTACTGTAAGCTCTTGGGGGATTAACTACATTAGGGGTGTGTCGCCTAATATGCAAAGGGTTCCTGCTACAAAAAGAGCCCTGTCAGAGACTATCTATCTATCTATCTATCTATCTATCTATCTATAGCTATATCTATCTATCTATAGCTAGCGCGCTCTCTCTCTCTGT